TGAGTGACACGGTTGAGAGCTAGCGTGTGTGCACATGCTTGGTATAAATGCGTCAGGTACTGCACTAACTGACCTGGTTGACATAAAGGGTGTATTTGCTCACGTTAGCGACTGAATCATTCGATTCACTCCCTGACCCTGTTCTCGCACTGAGTGCTACATCTTATCGGTCTAGTTAGCAACTGTGGATCGTTCAGTAGCGGTTCATGACCTGTAGATCAAAGTCCAAAGTTCAAACAGTGAGTTACTCCTTCGCTACACCATTCCGTCAAGCAGCTGAGTACCTTCTTGCAGGCGTAGGCCCTCCGGACTTCCGCTTCAAGTTTCTTCTTTTCTCTTCACTGCTACTTGAAGACAAAGTTTAACAAACGGCAAGGATGACTTTCTTCAATTCAGCTCTTTCCTTTAGACTCACTACTTGTAGTCATGTTCGTCTATGAGAAGTTCAACGGTGACTTTATCCGTATGGCAAGTTAGAAACTGAATAGACCATTTTCAGAACTCTCAATAGACCAGAGAAGTTCATCATGTTTCCTACACTTAGCGATAAAGAAGAGAAAAGTAGATCGTTTTCACTGTCATCAACGTTTCTCCAACAAGGAATGTAAGTTACAAATGGTGGCATTCCATCTCTTTCTCTTCGTTTACTTCCCATATTTTCGATAGTACTGTCGTCTCGTTGGTCTCCACCTTTGTCCTTGTCTCGTGTCGCAACGTGAAGGCCATTCAGGGACCTACTGATTGACCTCTTGTAGACGACGTACATTTCAGTTCTTTGTAACGAAGGTAGACTTGACGAGCAAGAGGATGTATAGATATTTCTAGTTGCGATCGACATGAAGATTGTTCAAATATCAAGTGTTTGCTGTTGTAACTGTTCGTGCTTGTCAAGTTGAAGTTGAAGTTGTTCCATTCATTTTGTGTGGGGACCTTTCTTCGAACTGGCGTTTTCTTCTTTGTTGTCAACGGTACGAGAGTTGGAGTTGTTTGAGGTGGAGAGCAGTATTCTTTCGTTGATAGTTGTCGTAGGCAGTTGTAGTAATGAGGTGTAACATTTGTCGGTGGTTTCTGTGGTTTTGCTAAGACAGGTAAATTGCCTTGTGTTGCAGCGTGTTGTGAAGATGTCCCCGCGATGTCGTTCATTGATCGTCTTCACCTTTTTCAGCTACTGACACAGTCATTGACTGAC